ATGGGCATTTTTGAAGGCTCATATCTTAGTGAATAATTTTTTTCAGACAATGGGAGTTGGAACACATCATTAGTATGGTCAGGCAATCATATTAAGCAAATAAAAAAAATATCTCAAAAATGCACAGAAGTTACCCTTTAAGTGCTTGCCCCAGCATGTCTGGTATGTACATATTGTGATTAATTCCGTGTTTCCTTTTCATTATCTACAACAGATCAAAGGTATCTTCAAGAAGCAATGGAAGATGGTCTTGTTGAGTCTTCTGTCACTAAGACTGTTGTACAAGGAGAAGCTCGAGTAGGCAAGAGTTCAGTGAAATCATTACTAGTTTCTGAGCCATACACTGATAATACTAGCACTAACCTTATAGAATCACCTTGTGTAGCTGTTAGGTGCTATGGGCACACTGGAAAATACTGGGAGCGAATTGATGAAGAGGAAATGGGAATAAAAGTAATTGCTGCAGTTCAATCCGATGCTGTGAAGAAATTTGAATGTCATCCTTCTGATGAAACTAAAGAAAGTGAACCAGTTGTTAAAAAGAAATCTATCAAAACTACAAAGCCAATTAGCCAACATACTGATGGTAAAGCGTCTAAGCCCAAGAGTCAAAATGAAAGTGTCCAAGATTCTCAATCTAGTATGGATGTCGTTTCTTCAAGTTCTGCCATCACTCCTGATGCCCCAGTTACAATAGAGTTCAGTAATGAGAAAAATGCTGTTGTTAGAGTACGCGAGTTTTACCAAAAGTGTAAGAGGAGTAAAAAAGAAGGCACAAGTCTTCATAATCGTCGTTGGCTATATTTTATTGACTCTGGGGGCCAGATTCAATTTCAAAAGTTACTCCCAGCATTCATGCCTTATGCTTCAGTTTTACTTCTAGTAGTTAATTTATCTAAAGATCTTAATGATCCATCTTCTACAGCTATGCAGCTTTCTGAGGGAGAAATTAGTGTTGGCCAGTATTCACTCTCAGTTATTGAAGTTTTGAAGCAGCTTCTCTCTGCAATAACCTCTAGTGCACAACAGTATCGTTCACTGATTGCTGATGATAGCACTCTTTCTAAATGCATCAAGCCTCCTTCAGATAAATTGAAAGTCCTACCTGTTGCCACTCATCGTGATGAGTACGATGAAACAAGGACAGAATCGGTAGAGGAAAAAAAGAAGCAATTAAAGCAAGTTTTTAAGCTTCATAATTCTTGCGAGATTATTGGTCATGAAGGAAGGATCTTTCTGCATGAGATTGATGGCCGTGATGCTCTAAATGTTGACCATAATAGGCATAATCCTAATTTGGATAAAATTGTTAAAATATTGGATGAGAGCGCATATGAAATCAAAGTCCCTTTGAAGTGGTATTGCTTTGGTGTTCTTCTACATGATGTTGCTAAGGAAAGTTGCGGGATACTCTCTTTGTCTTATTGTCAGGAGCTTGGCCAGCAATTAAAGGTTGGTTTGTCATCAGAAGAATCATTAAGTGCTATTAAATTTCTCAGCTTTCTCAATAAATTGCTTTTTTATCCAGATTCACCTGCCGGAGATTTAGTTTTTGTAAATTTAGAAAGTCTTATCAACATTATTAGAGACCTTGTGGTTTCTATTTGTAAAGATCACTCTGCAGTGAATAATGATTTGCTACCTAATCGTGAGCCATTAGTATCTCGTGGAGAACTTTCCACTGAGATTTTAATGGAAGCTTCAGAACAGTGTAGAAAAATTTCTCAGTCCATCCCAAAGTTTGAGAGCAAAATTCTTGGTCTTTTTGAGTATCTTTTGATTGCGGCACCAATGCCAAATGAAGGTTGTTTTCTCATGCCAGCACTTCTTCCGATCAAGAATGTCTCTGACATCAATCCTTTCCCTGATACAACCCCATTATTGCTGTATTTCAAGGCTGCTGTTCCAATGGGTCTCTTTTGTGCCATTATTGTTCATCTTCTCTCTCACAAAGACTCTTCCTGGAATGTTGCTGAAGAAGAGTCAAACTTTTCAAACTATTTCACTTTACGATGTCCAGACCTTCTTCGAAGTGACATAGTTCTTGTAGAACAACTTGACTGTATTACTGTGTATTGTGAAGCAGCTGATGATTATATTCCAGCAAGAGATGCTGTAGAAGAAGCAATTGATGTAGCAATGTCTAAGCACAAACTCAGTACATGTGAGAAACCGAAAAGAGCATTTTACTGTCCTTGTGGTAAAGGAAGGCATGCAGCTGTGGCATCATGGCTTAAAACACAAAATTGTTATGTTTTTCATTGCACTAGTAGTAAGAAGTCCCAAAATCTGGCTGAGGACTGCTCGAGTTGGCTAGACGTATATCAGACAAGTAAGAATAAAATTGATGCATGGTAGTGTTAGTACATAGTTCTGTTTGTAATTGATAGGAAAACGGCAGCATAATGATGAGTTACAAAACTTACCTGATATTCCAGAAACAAGTGAGTTTGCATATTGTGCAAGGCTTGTACTATAGTCAACCCCTTCCTTTGTAAATACAGTGGGAGGGGCTGGCTATGCAATACTGTGCTAGTATCTGAGTTTTGCACAAAGAGTAAGGACCATACTTTCTTCTTTTGCAAGTGGCACTGTAGTGGGCAGGATCTTTATTATTTTTTCATTATTGTTGCAATGTAAAATAGTGATATCTATTGTGTATGGACTAAATATACCTAAAATAATTATTTATGAAATTTTATTTTAGATGTTGCATATCAAGTCCTTGTGGATAGTACAACAGAAATTAAGGACCATTTTTCTGATGATTATTCTGATTTTGCAGACAAGTTGCTTGAGATAAAAGTGATCACTGAAAGGGAAAGAAGTACTATAACTGACAGAAATACTTGCCAAGATAAGTACAAGCGAATGGGAGGAGTAATAGATTATGTTAAAAAAGCTGTTCAAATTAAAGAGTCTGTGTTTATCCTGTTTTTAAATATTTTTCATGAGAAAGGTACTCAATCTTCTACAGAGTTTGCTCGGAAACTCATGCAAAGATATAAAGATAAAACTAAACTCTCTGATGTTAGTCTAGAGTCATTGTCAAAAAGAACCAAACAAAGTGAACATGAATTTTAGATGTTTTTCATAATAATAATGTAACATCATAATTATTTTACTTTGCTGAACAATGTCAATGAGTAATTGTGTATTACAAAAAATTTAAAGAGTTTTTTTACAAGAATAATTACAAATTGATTTGACACCTTGCAAAAGATGTGTGAACGAGCTTATAGAAAAGTGATGACAAAACTTACGATTAAAATAACCAAGTGAGTTTCTTTTACATTCAATGTACTAATTTTTTTGTTATAGCACAAATTAAATGTTTCTTTTTTATCAAATAATAATTAGATGGCACCATTTTCTTAGTTGTGAAGTTCCAAGCATTGAGACAGTATGTGCCCAGTAATGCTCCCATCACTTGTGACTCTAGAGATAAATGACTGAGTCCAGATATGGTGTACAGTACACTAGTAATTGTCTCAAGGTGTTATTATTAGGTTTTACACCATGCCCACATACTTTGCTTTTTATATGCACTGTATTATTTCTAATGTTCGCTTTCATAAAAACTATACATTTTTATACTAGAATATGTACATGTTTTGTATGGAATATGTAATAATGCATGTAACCCATATTCATCAACTGATGTACACTTATTGTGTTTAGATAGTCTTATTCATAATTATACATTAATGTACAATGAAATAATTATTACATTCTACATGTATGCATAATGGTGTCTGAATGTGTACCGTATCAGTTGATGATTGTTTTATTGTTGATTGATATCATTGCAGGCTATAGAAACCTTTTCTGCTTTACTCAATGGAGGCTTATAGCTCATGCTCTTTTGCTCACAAACTGAAAATGAACTCCCACAAACAAATCCAACAGCAAAAGTAATCCTATACTGTATAGTGGAAAACTTTGGAGGAAATTAAATTTGGTGAATTTGGCGTTTTGATAGCCATTCGCCAAAATAAAATCTGCCATTTTCAACCATTATATGCTTGCTCAATGGCACGTGGCCTTTAATTTGCCAAATTAAAATCACCGATCACCAAAATTTAGCAATTTACCAATTCTAACTCCATCCAAATTTCCCACTCTATGCATACAGTAGATAAATGGGCATTTGTACTGTGTTGAGAGCTCTGTTAACTATTTCTGGTCTGTTCCTCTACTGTAATAGCAAAGTATGTACATGTATCTAGATTATAATCATTGTGTGTGTAGTGACTCTTATAGTACAACACTCAGTTCTATAGTTATTACTGTATTGTGCATGATTGTGTAGGTTGACTTGTTATGTACATCAATGTGGTGGATATGAATACACATGCATTAAAGGAATGTAACTATCTAGAATATTATTTACTTTTTATTTTGACATCATGGTGAATGAAAACCTGCCCAACAGTGTTCAGGAATTTCTATTTATTTAATATTCACTAATATTTTTATTTATTTTATATTTTAATTTTAGGGCTAGGAATTTTTGATACACTGGCACCAAGAATCTATCCTAAAATAATGACTAAGTTCAATCCTGTCACACCTATATCATGGATTTTCAGCAGCCTGCATGACAATCAGCCTAGCATATGATACGATCATGATGATCAACCACAACATGCACAATACAAGGACCATGTTGGAATTGACTGGCTCAACCAGATCAACAGGCATGATTTGTTTATACTAATGACTAATGTTCGTAATGTTAAATTATTCATAGTAAAAGGTGTAGTGGTTTTTGTTAAAAAACTGAATTTTTGTAAAATGTAGAAAATTTTGTAAAAAAATTAATTTTTGATTTCATTAAAAATTTTAAACTGTAGTTACGAAAAAATTTTAATGTAGGATTTCTAATTAATGCATCTAGTAGTGGGTGTAACTATAAAATTAAATTTGTAAATGAAAAATAATGTCGATTCCCGTTGAAAGCACTAGTCTGGAAGGCAGTCAAGGCACTGAGTCTAGCTCTCCTGGCTTTGGGGGTCTGAAGGCTGAGACTGACCTTAAAGTTTTGGTAAGTAGACTAGCTCAATGTAGATTAAAAATATTTGTATTGCTTTGTGGGTATAGTCCAGGGGCTGGCCCCGAGACTCTTGTGGGCCCGTAGATTGTTATAATTGCCAGTTTACATGCTCATTTACATGTATAGTTGTGTATAAACCTGTGGCAATACATGGGGTTCCATTGGTTTCTGTCAGCCATCTTGATGTACCAAAATAACAACGGCTCTAGTCTCGCCCTGCCCCTTCGCTACCTGCGGAGAAAGGGTCTGGAGACACTGCTATCTAAAATGTGTGCATTCATGCCAGAGAATTGGCGTCCCAATCAGATTGCTCGATTCACGTGCAGGACAAGCAGTCACATGACCGAATACCTCTGTTTAAGACAAAAGAGGAGGAATGAGGACTAAATAAAGGAAGGAAGGAGCCTGTAATGCCTCCTGGACTTCTTTCTGAAGGTTTAAGAGCAGTATTACTGTGCTGCTTACTACAGCGACGCCATCGCACTTATGACGTAATAATACTGTCACGTGTTTACAATAAAACGTCATCAATAAAAAGTAAATACTATGGCGCTCTGTGAAGAGTTGCTGCTCTCAAATCTGCAAGAGATGTCCAAGAGACTCTATCCTCGACTTTTCTTAGCTGCAAAGCATCTCTTTCAGCTGTCTTGACTGATCTGGTCTCCTTGGTCACATGACGTAGGGTCAACCACGTGTTTTTCTTTGCACACATTTTAGATAGCAGTGTCTCCAGACCCTTCCTCCGCAGGTAAGCGAAGGGGCAGGGCGAGACTACAACGGCTCTTAGAGCTCTTGCACAATGTAATCAACGGGGTGTGTGGCTATGACTGTCTGCCATGTTGGGTAGCAAGAAAGTACACAGAATGAATGTAGATACAGAAACAAACTGTGATTTTCCATTGATAAGATATCATATACATGTATGACTGTAGAATATTATAGAGAGTTCTTCACTCAATACCTTCATCTCCTACCTTGCATTAGCCTGGAATGTCAACTGCAGAAATTTATTCAGATTTTCTTTTCCATTCTCCTCATTTCATAATGTACCATACAACACAACATTTTTAAGGTCTTTAAATTTTGTGATTTTTGAAGATTTGCAAAAATTACTTCCGCAAAAATCAAATTATTACGGTACAAAATGATAAAATATTCACAATTACATTTGAGTTTATTCTTTACTTGCACGTATAAAATATTGGCTATTTTAGACTTATCTAGCTCAGACAGTATTTTGCAAGTAGCTGCTTTTTTCTAGCACAACTTAACAATTTTTAAATCACACTTGATGCATGCCCCTTTTCAGTACAAAATGGCAGACGGTATAAATTTGCAAAAATTAAATCTGCAAAATAGATTGTCAGGAAAATTGGCAAAATTTACAACTCTCAAAATTTGGCACTCTATGGTACAACATGGCAGACTGTCATAGTTAATTATCATCGGGGCAAGAGCTCTATTCATTGATGCACAAAACACACTCTATTGCAAAATATACTCTATTTTGAGCCAAACTTTAAGAAAATTACTTAGTGTAAAAACTTTTAAACTTGTTTACTACAACGATAAGGCATAGTCCTGGATCTTAATAGTTCTTCTTTGAACTTTGTCCTAAAAAGGTAACAAAAAATGGCCCCACCTAAAAATTGAAAAACAGCACCATAAGTTCCAGTATTTTTTTCTTCAGAGCTTTATCTTTCTATTAATTTGGTTTTAAGCTAAAATCCAATTTTTTTCGATTATATAAAGCGTGAAGAGGACTGGTACATAAATGGGCCATTTTTATTCTTGTACTCCAAGATGGTAGTGCTTGGCAATGTATCTAAATTCATGATATTGTAACTGGAATACATGTATATCAAGCCAAAGCAATTCTTTCTATTGAATATTAAAATTAGTAATATTAAAGTTAATGGTCATAGCTTAATAACTGTTCAATAATACCGTAAACGTAAAAATTTTTGTGGTGTAAATTTTTGAATTTTTTTGGAATTTTTTCATAAAATTAATTTTCATGCATTAAAAATTTCGTGGTAGGCGTTACCTACTTATTAATTTATTGACCACGTGGCAATATGGCAACACCTGCAGAGATGCCTACCTTCACTATCTTTTCAGTTATCAGGGGCTACCATGTATATAAGGAGATCTGGGAAGCAGAGGAAGGAGAGATGCTGAAGTGTGAAAGAGAGACGAGTAATATTTATGATCAGCAGGCGTGGCTACCACGTGGCCTATTGAATTAACCACCACACCCTTGCATTAAAATTTTGTGGACCTGTGAGGCCCACGGAAAAAATTAAAATTTATCCGCCACGAAAATTTTTACGTTTACGGTAGGTATCGATTTTCGTGTTTGGGCAATTTATTGATAGTATTATATTGTTTTAAAATTTTCAATATTGCCCAGTACTTCAAGATGGTGACAGAAAACCAAACCCCCTAATTACCCCACCTATTGCTGACGGTCTATTGTATCTATGGTTCATGTGTCCTTTAATTGTATACCGTATTGTAATTTAATTGCAATTGCATTTGTATACCGTAAAAGATTATTTATTGGCGAGAGAAATTGATATTGGTGATTGGTGGTTTTATGAAGAATTTGCCAATATAAAATCTGCCATTTTGTTTCAATCTGAGCATGCTCAGTGGCATGTGGCACAAAATCACCAATATAAAATCTGTCAATTTCTTTCCACATTCAAATTTGCCAAATATTATTCCTGCCAATAAATCGTCTTGTATGGTATTACACGTATACATGTCAAGGCCATAGGAAGGAAATTAGAGGAAATATCATATCCTTATCTCCATGTGCATTGCAGAGCATGTGAAAATTAGTGATGGGCAATTCCAGAGTATTCGATTTTTTGTTCCGAACCGTGTATTGAATAAAAAGCTGGAATTTTTTTGACGTTATTCAGAATTAAGCCACACCCTAGCCACTCTCTTTAGCATTAATAATAGCTAATATACCAGTAGTTATTAACTGCATTTTATTCAAAAATCTCCTAGAAGTGCTGCATCTGGCTATTTCTATCTTTAATTCACTATCTTCCCTCGATCAATTTATTTTATTTTTACTGTAAATTGTAAACAAAAGTAGACCCAAGATGCTTCCCTGAGGGACACTGGATAACACTAGCAAATATAACTGGATTGGTAACCTTTAACCTTAACACATTAGTACCAACCCAAAAGATACCTTCAAATCCACATCCAAATTCAGCCATTAAAATTTTATCAAGCTTGAGCTGTGAGATGTAGTATCAACAACTTTTCTGACATCTACATGTACATGTACATGTAGGTAAGTAACATTATGTTGGCCTTAGAGGAGAAGGATGTAAGAATCTCATACAAGAACAGCTGTTTCACTTTGGATTTTTAGGACCTACAGTACATGTAGAAACTTAAGTAATTGGGTCATACACAGCGAAATGTACTAGCTAGTCAATCATTTGACTGATTGGAAGGAGTACCTTTACTGCCTTTTAAACTGTTTTAATGATCTACATGTAACTAGCTACTAGAATGCAAACAGTGAGTATTCTGAATCAGATTTGGTATTTGATTCCTGACTTTATCAACAGCATTAATTGGGGTAAAAATTCTGCTAGCCACCATTTTATTCATTGTGACCACACCAGTTTCAATGAAGATTAGGCTATTTAACTTTAATAATAGTTAGAGGACCTGCCCGTACAGACAAACAGACGTTTTCTCGCCTTAGTGGGGCGAGCTCAGGCTCATCCCAATAACAAGATAACTAGATGAATGTAAAATATTGAAGGGGCAAGCACGAGCATACACATGCATGCACTGACTTGCATGCATGGCCCATTGGAAAACAATTTTTTAGCTTGCTCTTCTACCTTTATTATTAGCAAAGAATCTCAGCTGCAATTTAAGCATAATTTAACTGTATAGCTAAACACAGTACTGCTATAGGCGTTCTTTTCTTTGACTCTGAGCCAATCAAAATAATTGAAGCTTTTATTGTCATTCAACCATAAGTAAAAAGTCATTTAAGATTTATATCTGCTTTCTTAACTTCTTTCTGCTGGAGAAGTGCCTGGACAACAGATCAGTCTTATTTGCTGCAAGTAAGCTTCAGTAAGATTTGCTCCAGCTGGTTTCTTGATAGTCGCCATTTTTTTATTGCAACCACACCCATACCAATGAAAATATTTCATCAGAATGCTACCACATTAGATCATTGATTTTAAATAGAGAGTAGTGCACACATGGGGTGTGACCAGAATAGGCATGACTGGAGACGTACATACATACATACATACAGAGTGAGGGAGACTTCGCCTGAGTGGGGCTCGCTCATACTCGCCCCAATTATAATTAATGATATGATTTGTTTGTCAGTAATCAGTGCACATACATGTACAGTATAATGTTTGTCACTATTCTTATGTGTACTGTACTTACATGTACATGTAAGTGTCTTAAATCAAATATTTCATATGCAGCATCTGTCATGAGTCCATGCACTTTGCATGTACAGTTTAATCTGTTCATGCTGTGTTCTATTATTGTTTATTTGATTTACTGTAGAATAAGAAATTGGGGAAAGCTGCTGAAGAAGGGGACATTAATAGTGTTCAGTCATTATTATCACAAGGAGCTAATGTAAATAATCAGGATAATTGGGTAAGTCAATATACACTCAAGTACAAGAGTAGTGAACAAATTATTTTATGTTAATCAATAATTTGTTGTTTGCATGTACAGTACATGTGTACATGTACTTGTGTCTTGTGGAGTTGTGGATATTATAAATCGAGTTCATTGGCTTCACCAGTGATTAGCATGGGTGTGGACTACCGTCTACATGTAGCTCCAAAATTTTGTCAGTCACAAGTTTTGTCAAATTTTAGTTTCTTGTTAACACAATCAGCATTAACATCAGATAATTTTGGGCAATAGTCCTGAATCAGGTATGATAACTCTTGGGCTTGTACTGTCAGTTTGCAGCCACGCCCGGACGCCTTTAAATTTTCAAACAAAGCTTGGCAAACCTGAAGCAAATCAAATAACTTGTACATGTATATTATTTAACTTTAATGTGAATCAAACGGTAGTTGTGCAGGAAAGATTTCAAATTATTAATTTATGTGTATTTTTTGCTCCAGTGAGGCCAATGTACCACTTTGTCTCATTAATGCAATGTGTTTACTAGTTTATTGTTCCTCTCTCTCTCTCTCTGCTTTGTTATAATCTACCACTGATAGTGTGTTCCTGCTATGTATGTACATGTACATGTTATGTAGTAATTATTGTCATACTACTCATGATTTTTACTCTAATTAATGCTGTTAATAATGTTACATGTATGTGACTTAATTATATTATTATATTGTTAGAATGAAAGCACTCCTCTTCATTATGCAGCATCAAGAGGACATAATGAAGTTGTATCAGTTTTATTGTCTAATGGTGCTGATCCAAACATTGAAGATAGGGTAAGTTATGCTGACAGTTTATAGTAATACAAAGAACAGAATGGAAATGGTATTAAGTCGTATCAGATTTTTAAATTTAGTGAAATGAAACAGGCATTCCTTAAAATTATTTCTCCAAAATGTAATTTCATTGTTACGCCCATGGAGACAGCATTTTCAGTATTTTTGTCAATCAGGCTGGTTTTTAAGTACATATACTCACCATGACTGCAAGGGCAAGTGTGCTACTGTATATAAATGCATATATAGGTACAGGTACAATCATTGATGCATGTTTGACCATAGTAAGCATTGTTATACTCTTTTAGTTGTTCAAGAAAATTGAATCTACATGTACATGTACATGTATGAATTTTTTACCCCAAATAATGCTGTTGATAAAGTCAGTTGTGTGACCTAATATTATTTTTTAGGATGAAGACACTCCTCTTCATGATGCAGCATTTAGAGGACATAATGAAGTTGCATCAGTTTTATTGTCTAATGGTGCTGATCCAAACACTAAAAATAAAGTAAGTTATACTGATAATCACTAATACAAAAAGTAGAAACAACCTCAAAAATTGTATTGCTTTCTAGGGTAGCAAATTTAGTGATTAAAACAAGCCGTAAAGTAGTAATTTTATTTCTCCTTGCTACATCCACTAAATACATGTACATGTACATGTAGTAATTAGAGGCAAAGGGCCAGCATTAAAGGTTCCAGGAAACTTCTCTAAAAGTATATTTGGCTGATGCCTTTAATGGACCCACGTACATGTACATGTACATGTATATCCAATAAATCCATGAAAGTTTACACCTTGTGCTGTATTGCTGTCTCAACTCCAACCCTTATGCCATAAT